CGCGGTTCTGCTTCAAGTGAAGTTAACAAAGTTTCAACCAGGAGTTGGAGGTTATTTTCAATAACAACTTGGGGTAATATCTCACATATACGACCAAGTGTCCAAGCCACAGAATCTCGTACAACAACGGATTCATCTCCCATTAAGTTTATTAGCATTGGTGTGGCCTGCAAAGAAATTTTACATCTGTATCAAAATAAACACCCTCATAAAAAGAAATGGTGCCCTGCGCTGATATAACCTGAGAGTCACCAACATGTTTGAGTGAGACTAAAACAATTTTTGGCTGTGAAAGAAGAGAGAAATGACTCATCAGATAGGCCTCTGAGATTTCTAGTTTGGATCAAAAGTTTCTGCGACCCAAAATTCTCTAGATACCTGATTAACCACTCCTAAAGGAAAAGTTCCTGAAAGATTTAATACTCAACAACTTGACAGTATTGGAAAGGTGCCTTACCACCGCAGCATATGGCTGCAAAGCTTTGGGATCAGGTCCTTCCAATATTGCACCTGAAATATAAAATTGTGCTATCAGTCCACATTAAAAAAAACAACAAGACTGCAGCAGGGCTTGAAAAAAGTGCTGTCAGTTTTGTTGTTCACGGTAAAAATCATGGGTAAAAAAGAAAAAACAGCATTTCGACCTCTCTCAGTCATTTTCAACCCTCAACATTGAACTTGAGAATGACCAAAGAGCGGTTGAAATGTCTGTTGTTAATATCCATAATTTTTCACAAGAATTGTTTTAAAAACTCTTACTGATACAGTCTTGTTATTGATTTTTTTCGCTTAATTAATTGTAGCACTTACAGTGATTTTAAGTTAAAATACACTCACCAAACGCCATAACAGCCGCATCTCTGTTTTTCCACTCTGGGTTTTTAATGTTTCCCATTATAAAGTCTGTCACAAAAGGTATCACATCATTTTCACAACACTGGGCCAACAGCATTAGGCATACACCAGCGGCTTTGCATGGATTCCAGTCATCCTCATCATCATATTCCTCCTGCGACAAAATTTACAAACAGCTTTTTCAGGGCTTGAAATTGCGACTCACTGGTTGCCAATGCAACCAAAAATTGAGCACTGGCGACTAAATTTTCAGAACTGGTCGCCAGCTGGCGACTCGTGTTTTGTCCGATAATTAAAAAAACCACAACACAACTTTTGTTTTTAAATCTTTATAGTAGGAAATCAATCGGATATGGCAGCTAGTATACAACTCACCTTTCCGTCCTCAGTAAAATAATGTCTGAATATTGCAAGATAATCGAAAAAATTTAATGTATTTCGACACGTCGATACCGTGTTCACGGCGCGCCATATTGTTCAGCGGCTTCTTCCGAAACTGGAAAGGTACTTCATGTATGATACCTTATAATGTACTGTTATATACACCTCAGGACTAGAGACATGTCACCTGAGAACAACGGCAGCTTGATAACTAAGTGTTACTCGTGTTGTTTCTAATTGTTTTCACTCTTCATTTGTCACTTTTCTTACATGCAAAGTAACGTATAAAATCGTGTTCTTGTGTAAGTTATATATAAAATAATTTGGCGACCAAAATTTTTCCGTTAGTCGCCAGCTGGCTCCCAAACGAAAAAGTTAATTTCGAGCCCTGACAGTGCCATCAACGAAACCCCTGCAGTTATTCAACGCCGCGCCCTTTTGATGGATTGTATCTGCATATGTTTGCAGAAAGGCACGGGAGAGGAAGGGCTGGTTAACATCAGTAAGGTGGTGGCCATGTTCGTTGTAAATCCAGTCTAGAACAACATTGGTCGTCATCCTCACTTCTGGGACAGGTCTGCCAAATCGTGGAATCATGTCATTGTAACGACACGGATATGCAAGTTGTTTAAGCAGCATACACAAGCCTTCCATTCCTTCAAACACGAACCTCTGCGAGCAGCAGAAAACAGGTGGAATTCCAAGGGAATCTGCCAAAACGGGCAAATCATTTTTCTCAACACGAAATTCCGCTATGCATTCTTCTTCGCTGAAATTGTCCAGTCAGAATTCTTCGTAGTTGTCGTGCGGAAATAGTGGATTTTTTGACATATTTACGTCGTAAACAATGGCAAATTCATTTGCGTTCAGGATGCCTTTGACACAGGAAACTAAAAGTAAATCTCGCATTTCCTTTAAGCTAGACATAACCTTGGTGAAATGCAAAGTAATCGACAGCTTTGTCATGGATTATGAATTTGCCGCCAACTCTCCGAAAGCTCGCCGGGCGCAGCATCACATTTTCGCGCGTTTTGCTTAAGGATGGTAACTTGCTGTCGCGACCGCAATCTGAAGCCGTTCTAGCCCCAGTATCTTATCGGTCGTCACGTCGCCGTTGTCAACGAAAACGTCTGTTGCTTAAGGTGCCTAATATCTGACGAAGATTTTCGCCAAGTTTCGTTAAAATCCGATAAATCTACATACCCTATTAATTAAATTGAATAGAGGTAATTCATGCAAAAATAAATCTTGAGTTTTTGGCCTAGAAAGAAATTCACAGTTTTCGCACCTCACTGAAGCGGTTGTCAACATGGCCATGCCACCAATCAATGAAATGCAGCTTTGAACTCCCCATCGGGCTACAGTAGCGCTTCCCGGGAATGTAGCAATGTTTACATCTACAGGATATCTTTATATCTTACATCAGGAGTAGCGAGGTCTGCCATGAAACACTCAGTAGCTTATAAACTGAATCAGTAGATAAATGGTAAAAAAAGAAAAGGGAAAAAAGAGGAATGATAGCATAATAGCCTTGAACAGGCCTACCGAGGCAAGTGAGGATATTTACACATTTCTAAAAAATTCTAAATGCGTATTTTATCGGCCTGTTTGTTTTACTAGAATATGGAAAAACACTCTTCGAAGCAGAGGGAAGGAACATTTGGAGATGCTTTGTCAGATATCAGCGATTAACTTCATTGACAATTCCGCAGCAATCAACTTCTGTGCCAGAGGAAGCCAGAGCAGGGCATTGACGAAACTTTCGCTTGCGGGTCCTTGCAATTTGTGCTTCCGTTCAAACGTGGGAGCGCCAAGACTATCACTTAAGAGACGAAAACAATCACTAAAAGTGTAGATTTCCGTGCAAAAAATTGCAAGACGTAAGGGATAAAAGAAGCAAAATACGACTCAGTGGATGAGATCAGTTGCTGCGAAAATTGTTCCTGCTCAACTCAAGGGTTGACACATTTTAATTGGCTTATCACAGTTTGCAGCTCATTGACTCGTTTTAAAAATCTACGTTACGGTGGATAACTTGTTCGCGTTTTAAATTTTTAAAATAATTTTTTTGTGAAGTTCTGATAAAGTAGAAGTCTTGAATTTGGAACAAAAAATTATTTTAAACAAAATAACCCCCTGAAGGTCTACAGTAACCTTAAGTTCTGTATTTGCATTTATTTCAATTTAATGTTCAATTTATTTCAAAACCAGCTTGAAAACCACTCCCCTCTTGTTTAAATGTTGTTGTTAAAATGTCAATTTTTTACCACGCAAAGGATTATGGAAAAGTTGTTATTTTAATTACATGTTACCTGTACAACAATCATTTGTTGATTTTACAACTCATTTGAGAAGATTTGATACATACCCTGGAAATGCATTAATAAAATCAGTGATGCTTGGTTCCTTGTAGCTATTGAATGCTTCAGATTCAAAATCATCTGACATTGGATTCCAAGAATCAAGATCTTCTAACTGTCCCTGCCTTTTTTCTCCATTGCACACAGACCTATATTGAAATCAACAAGTTTTAAACAATATAGCTATATCATGTTCAGACAATTAAGAGTGTGTCCACAAGAAAACCAGGCAGAACCAGGCAGAAGGTGATACAGCTCAAATCAACGATTTTGCTCAAACTTGCCCGTTGAAATGAATATCTGTGCTTTTACACTGATAGTTGTACAAACATGACCCAGTGGATTTCAATTTCACGTGGCTTTTCTTGTTGTAGAAATACTAAACAAAGATGGCTAATTAAATATGCATGAATTAGTGTCAAATGGCCATTTTTGCAGGGGCTTCCCCTTACTTGAAGGGAATAAAATATTTTGACCTACCTTTTCCACAATCATTTTCTCACCAAACCCAACTTTTGTGCCAAGTTTGAGTGAAATCAGTGATTTGAGCTGTATCACCTCCTGTCTGGTTTTCTCATGGACACACTCTTAAAAGCAAGTTTTGCAGACCCAGGGCTTGAAAAAAAACTTAAAATTCCAGCTTCCCCTTGGGACAAGTAGCTCTCAAATTTTGCTTGCCCTGGGCAAGTCATAGTTTGCTCTTTTACTGATTTAGTTGGCAGATGACTTGCTTGATCCCTTGCCCATCAGGAAATTACTTGCCCACAGGCCTCCCAAGCTCAAAATATGTGGTGTATGTGACAACTTGTGTATAGACAGAATTGTATGGGAAAATCACCAATCGTAAAAAAACTTTGTGTAAATAACTATCTCATTTGAAATAAAGTTCCTACCTCAAATGTGTCGTGTACCTGTCTCTTGTGCTGATTTTAAAGCCATTCTGATGCCGTTTAGTGGAGTTATTTGAAACCGTTGTCTCTCCTAAAAGAATGGAAAGGCAGACCAATCAATTGATCGCTGGCCAAACGTCACTCCACAAATCGCTCTCTCTTCAAAAGGAGAAAAGTCCCGAATCGCAATAAAACTAACAGTTCCATAAAGCCCAATAAATTTCACTCCACATATGTGTGCTTCAGCGGTCAAAAGACTCGTGAAGAACGAAAAATTTGGCTTACAGTTAGCCCCTTCGGCTTTCCTGATGTGCTTGTACGCAGGTCCATGCCAACGGCCGTTATGCAAAGGTCAAGTAGCTGGTTTCATCCTCAACTCTGATTAGTCCATTTGAACCAAGTCATGCGCTGACAACACGACCCTCGTGAACCCCCATGTGTCAGCGCATGACTTGGTTTAAATGGACCAATCAGAATTGAGGATGAAACCAGCTACTTGACCTTTGCGTAACGGCTGTTGGCACCTAACTTTACGCCAAATTTTTCGTTCTTCACAAGTCTTTCGACCGCCGAAACACACGTATGTGAAGTGAAATTTATTGGGTTTTATAGAACTGCTGGTTTTATTGCGATTCGGGACTTTTGCTTTTGAGGAGAAACCGATTTGTGGAGTGACGTCTGGTCAGATGGAGTGGTCTGCCTCTCCATTCTTTTAGAAGGAGAGACAACGGTTTCGAATAACTTCACTAAACGGCGTCAGAATGGCTTTAAAATCAGCACAAGAAACAATTACGCACCACATTTGAGGAAGAAAACTTCATTTCAAATGAGATAATTATTTACACAATTTTTTTTACGATCGGTGATTTTCCTATACAATACTCTATATACACAAGCTGTCACATACAACACGTATTTTGAGCTTGGGAAGCCTGTAACTTGCCCAGAATGAAAATCTACTAGTCCGGGGAAATGGAACAGCACCTTACCCAAGCCCCGACTTCAAGTTTATTCAAGGCCCAACATTGGAACAAAAAATATCTCAGTTCATCCTTTAATACTAATGCCATCAAACATGCCCCATGAGATGAACACAGACAAAGGTCAGATCCAGCCACATAAAAATGTACTCTCAAACAACTCTTATTTACCTAAATGCTCCAAAATAGTTTACTTGGGCTTGGTATCGCAATGTCAAATCATACTCTTCAAGTATTGAACACAATAAAAACAAATTAAAGAATCAGGATATTTAAAACAGGAGTTAGACTTATTTCCTAGTAGTAATCGTAGAATAAAGAGTGCATTCGAGTTTTGGTAGGCTTGGTATGTTTAAAAAACAAAAATTCTAGAGACAGCATTTTGTGCCTGAGTTCTTAGGTAGGCATGAAATTGGTCTTCCTTCAGCAGGGGCAGAAACAAATGAATTGATTGCAAAGCATGTGCATACGAGAGGGTTTGTTCTCGTTTATACATGTATTGTGTAATATTAGTTACGACCGGTCAGTAAAAAACATGGACCGCAGTCAGGAGGCTGCATTTAGTCCGCAGTCCCAATTTTATACCCGAGTCCGCGCGCGTTTTATGCCCAGTCCATAATACTTAGTCCGCGTTTTATACCTAAGTCTGATTTTTATACCCAGTCTGTAGTCCGTAGTCTGCAGTCCGTAGTCCACAGTCTGCATCTGCAGTCCGCAGTCCCCAGTGCATATTTTATACTGACCGTGTAAATCGACACCAACCATGTTTGTTCCGTTGGTATGCGAGACGACGTGCTTTTAGGACCAAAACTAGGACAATTATTTTGTTAACAAACACGACTTTGAATCGCCTTGGCTTTGGGGTAACAGCTACAGGGCATTTTCACTTCTGAAACAATGAAAGGGAGGACATGTTCGTGTACCAAAACAACCCTGTGGGAGTTGAACTCTTTTCCTACGTAAACACTTTCGCTAGGTTTATGTTACCTAGTCTGTGCACAGAAATCTAGGCCAGCAAAGTGAAACTTATTTCCTCCTTTGATTTATTCAGCAGAAAGCAGCGTTGGTTTCGGTAGAAGAGAAGAGGGTACACAACACACAGGCAAACTACAGCTTTCTGTCTGTACGAAAAGTCGTACACATTTCGTGAAGACATGTCCACAAGATTTTTAAATGCCATTAACACTGACTTCGAACTTTAAATAAATAACTTCAGTATCCGCTACAGTCCACAATAAGCTTCCTCGACACTCGAAAGTCCGCAATATTGCGCAACACTCGAAAGAAAGCACATGGACAAACATGGACATGACGTCATTCGCCGCTGAAGAATTTTTTGGGGGAGCCAAATTGGTGTCCCCAAATTCATAGATCTCGAATTTTTCTGCATTACGCGATTAGAACTGCGTTCTGTGGAACGCAATAAAAGAGGGTTTAAGATCAATGTTATAGGAAAAGTTAACACAAATTAATGTGGGGAAATGCTGAGTAATAAGCAAGCATAAGGTATCAAACAACAACAAGCAGCCCGGCATGGGCGAAGCCTACAACAAAAAGGCGTACGTGCCGTTTTCATATCGGAGACTCCATAAAGATCACATTTCGTACGACTGATCGGCATGAAATACGCTTTTGACCTGGCTAAACAGGATAGTGTGGTTTACAGGATTCTACATTGGCAAGACAACCGAGTGGCACGAAATTTTTGCGGAAGGTTAATTCTGCGGATCAGCAATTTTTTGTATTTTGTGGGAGCTAATTTTTGCGATTGTTAAAGACTGTTTTTTTCTTACTAGGTATAAATTTTTGTCATTTTTAGGGAGTTGCGTTTAATTGAAATAACACGAAGAGATATAAAGTACGGTAAACGTTAGACTTGCCACAAGTTGACCTCATGAATTTCAGAGTAGGATAGCAGCTGAGCGAGTGAAGCGAGCAGCGAGGTTTTAGGTTGTGTGGCGGGTAAAGAATAAACAAGACGAAGGACTTTGTAAAAGTGTAAGACAGATATATCAGTGTCAAAGTGATTACCAGTTAAGAAGTCCCCTGTATATGCGTGACGACGCCAGTTTCTGTAGACTCACGAGTTTAACGGAACTAAAATATCTACATTAGCCTTCAAATTTCGTGCTAAATATTCTCACATTAACTGGTAATGTTTAAGCGCAAAAGCTAATTTGTAAAAGTATATTTTTACGTACATTATGTACATTGCAAACATTTGCAATCGCCTACTCGTTTATCGAAAACAAACTCCGTGCGACTGATGCAAGTATTTCCCCTGATCAATAAAAGTAGACATCAGTATTTACATTGCCGTTCCTTGGTTCAGGCTCACTCTTATAGATCTTACCTTCAGAGTACTTTTCTACCTATTCCAAAAAATATTCGACTGAATAAAAAATGCAATCAAAATACAGCCAAGGTTAACATCCCAAAGCCAAGGCGATTCAAAGACGTGTTCGTGAACATATAAAACTTATAAACAAGGACAATTCCCTCAGATTTTGATAAATGCTACCGTCGAAGCGTTTAATTTCACCAAAATCCAACGATAAGAGCACAAAATAGCGAAGCCCACGGCGACTGAATGGAAAGGAAGATCCAGCGCAAAGACGAGCTCATATGGCCTGCTCACATGCTCACATGTTCGTTACATGTCTTAGTAACGGTACCAGTTTACTGGCCGTGACATGCCCCTGCAAAAGTCAAGCGGGGTGGCCATTTTGGTGTCCTTACAGGAACGTGGATTTTTTCTGCATATAACCCTCCACAGGAAAACCAACTCCAGAAAGCCAAAAGTGAAAATCAGGCTTGCGTTCTCCGAACGCAATAATGAAGGGAAAAAAATGCTAAGGTACCTGGAAGTTCTTGGACCTTAGGTACATTGTTTCTACACCACTGCCATTGCCGACGTTGCCACGACAACTCATATTCTTTACCGTCAAAACATGAGGCAAGAGGAAAGACATCTTTGCTATCTGCAACCTGAGAAGCAAAAAAATTTAACACTCCCATTAAGGCTTTGCTCAGGTATAACGTTCTCATGATCATATTATTCAGATTGTTCATACCCTAACTACAGCTAGAATCCTGACTAACATTCTCCTAATTTTCTTTTATCCCTTTCTTTAGTCAGTTATACTCATTAGTTCACATTAAATTTGACTGTTTTTTTTTTTCCTTTGAGATAAAATGTAGGAGACATTAAAACACTATGAAGAAAGTTCTAACAAAACCAGTTGCCTCGTTTCCAGGATTAGTAGGACTAAAATGCAAGACATGGTTGCCACTGACATTACTTTTCAAAATTTCCTGACTTTCCCCTGATAAAAATACAATTTCCCTGATCATATAAATACAAAATGTCAGATATCACGATCGAGTCTTCTAGCCTCCCCTAACAGGCGCCCTTTCCACTTCTTCAAAAAATAAAAATATCACTGAGATCACAGTGACCCCAGAAGTTTCTTCCAGCCTTCATTGGTATTGAATCAGCCTTCATTTTTCCTGACTTTTCTTCAAAGTGTCAATTTTCCCCGACTTTGAAATTTTTTTCCCTGACCATTCCTGACCTGTAGCAACCCTACAAGAAACTTTAAGTTTGTAAATGTAGAATAGTTGACGTGTATAGACTTTCAGCTTATGGCTTTATTTGATATACAGGGCGCCATTGAAAACCACACGTGTCGTTGGCTCCCTGTTGATTAGAAATAACCTCCATATCAACATTGTTAAACGAAGAGTGACAACAGTTCCTGGTCACTTCTGCCGTTTTTACGTTAAATGTACCCTGGCTGCAAATCATTAAATGACACCTCTAATGTAATCTTCGAGTATAGTATGGAAAAATTGCGAAAACTACTTAACATGCGTTTGTAATTCTTACATAAACAAACAAGATCTCCTTGGTTAGGCGAAATACATAAGTCAGCAACCAAAACTCAGAAGCGGCGGATTGACAACGTTCCAGGAAATACTCAGCTGATTTCTGTCTAACGGTCAGACCCTCACTGTCTGCCGCAGCTGTAAATTCTGGAAGGCAATCAAACTCAGGTCCTGTGAATGAAAGTAAAGACAATTATTACATCTTACATAAGGTTCCGCTACCTTTTCAGGTAGTTGCAAAACAGCTATTATACCCAACTTCAAAGCTACAGATGTACGGTCTTAGAAAAGTACTTTATTTATTATAATAACTTTACATTGTAAATACTCGTTGTATTCAATTTTCCAGTGATTTTCTTACCTTCATTAACTGTTTTGCAGTTAAGCTGTTGTAGGGAGTCCGTAGTATTCGACTCGGGATCGCCCTTGTTTCCCACAATGGTGCGTGAATGTTCTGAAGACTGGCGAGCTTCAGCTGTGTTAACATGCCTCTTGTAAGATGCATTTCTTTCTGTACTTAACGTCAGTAAGTAGCCCAACCTTTGATACGCTGTGATGGGTTGATGCTGGACTAGTTCGTTGCCTGAACCCAGAAGGAAGGATATCCCTGGACTCTGGAGATATTTTACTTGTCGTAGACTGTGCGCTTCTTGAAAATGGCTGGCTTGAATCAGGTGGAGACCATTTTCTTTCCATTTGAGTGGCTTAGTTGCATAAAAAGTTATAACATTTGCTTTGCCACTTAGAAACTCTCCAACTTTGGGAGACAAAATGAGGCTTTGAGTTAGGCTTGCCTTCTTGGCCTCAAGAGCGTGATCTTCTTGCTGCCAAACTGGTTGTTTGCACTCCGCTGTCTTCATATGAATTTCTAAAATAGCGGAAAAAGGACATACTCATTCAAAATAATCTTTCGGTGCTTAATACATAAACATCTAGAGAAACTAGCCCAGGTAATATAGGGAGAATACCTCCCTAAACTCCATAGTTTTTTGAAGCGGAGATAATACAGTGATGGCGAGATTGAGAAAGTCAATAAAATTATTATTGTTGAGTGTTGCAAACTATGACAATGTACTTGAACACTACTTGATCTCCGCGTGAACCCGCTTCAACCCAATTCGGCACAGTGGACAAGTACAGTGACCAAAGAAGACTCAAACAGCTTGATAGGAAAAAAATTATAGCCAAATGCATATACAAGACAGACTGCTATAAAGGTCTAACTTTAGTATATCACCTTTCCTTGACGTTCTTGAAATATCATCATCAGAATCCGAGCTTTGAGCCTCTGATGATTCACTGGACGATGTGTCAATATCTCCTAAATAGCCAGTTTCTTTGAGGATATCCTTTTCAATTTGATCATCTTCTTTTTCACTGGTAAGATCTGTTTAGTTGTAGACAAATAAGTCAACACGCCCTTTGACGTTGATACAAAGAACAAATGCCGTGTTAACAATTATTTCTTGTGAGGCATAATATAAGACAAGATTCTTTGGTCCGTGTCTCTGGTCCAAACTGAAAC